CGAAATACTACTACTTTAGATAAGAAACTGAATTTTATCCCTGAATTGATTTTTTTTTATTGCTATTCTTTTATAACCTTTATTTTTATTTTTTGTTGTCGTAAACCCCTATTTTAAGTGGCGAATTCAAGTTATTATTTGATTCTGCCTTAACAAATCGATTAGAAGAGCAAGAAATATAATAGGTTGAAGTTTGTAGTAACAATTTTTGAAAATTGTTTTTTTACGATCTCTGCTTGGTTATTTGAGATCTGCATTGGCTCACAAGACAAATTTCCTCACTGGTGTGATAGTGCGAGTGAATCGGGGAGCGAGATAATCGTGAAAGGGTTATTGGTGGACTGGGATAATTTGGAGGAGACAGACCTTGTAACAAAGAAGCCTTGCCAGAGCATTGGAAAATCAGGTGGTTGGTTCCATATTCAACCAAATAGACACTGGTATGTATCGTTCCTACTGATTTTTTTAATGGGTGCGCTACTCGGGTCTTCAATACATCTTTAATACCGCCAAGCGTATCTATTAGAAGGGAAGAAGCAAACACTGAACCAAACGACAGCTTAAGTTTTTCGAGAAGAATATACGCGATCCCTGAAATGCCCGAATCATAATCAATAGGTGCCGGGTGCAGTGCAAGTCAGGGGGAAAACAACCATGACGGTAACTCGGAAGCGGGACGCCCTAAGCCTCCGCAGAGCGGACCGACTTCATCTGCGACCAATATCGAGCAGCTGAGCCGTTTAATGGCTATGATGGCACAACAAAATGATATGATGGCGCAGTGTATGAACGAGGTCCGCCACATGAGGACTAACGTCTCGAATCTGAGTCACCGAGTAACCGAAATGGAACCATCGGTTGAGGCAATAGGTACCAACCCAGCATCAGCATCGACACCAGGCGCCAGAGAACAGGTAGACGAGACGAATTGACGAGGTAACGATTCAACACGCGAGCCACCCAAATGGAAGAAAATTGACCTTGACAAATGGCACGTTAAGTTTGATGGATCAGGGAAGGGCATCACCGTCGAAAGCTTCGTATTTAGAATTGAGAAAATGAGAGCACAATATGAAATATCATATTAGCAGTTGTTTACGGACTTCCAATGTCTCGTGATGGGCTCCGCGCTGAAATGGTATTGGCAAGTACTGGAGGACCATGCAGAGGATGCATCGTTTGACTATTTGGAGCTGAAGAAGGAGTTGTTGGCCCCGTTCAAAAGCGCGGAGTCCGATTACGCGATAATCCGGGAGATAATGGAACGTAAACAACTTCCACAGGAATCTTTCGACGACTTCTACGGGGAAGTTCATAACTTGACGTTCAGGCTAAGAAAAAAGATTCCATACATTGGCCGTGCTTAGGACAGAATGCAAGCATGCGGAGCGAGTAATTAAAGAAAATCGAGGTAGAGCCAGGGCAGTAAATGAGTTAGAGTATCCAGGTACACCAGTGTCAGATGAGGAGCCATCTAAAAATTTTGTTGAAGCTATTGGAAACACACACAAGTCGAAGTTCAGCCAACCACCCAGCTTCAGTAATAGGCCAAGCGTAGTCGAACACGATAGACCGGTCGTAACCTCGGTGAATAACTCCAAACCCACTATTAGCTCATTTTGTCCGTCGCCTTTCCATTTAATGTTGTGTTTTTCGTGTGTTATGCCTGTCGATTTTTATGTTACAAACCCAGCTGAGTCAAAGAAAGAAAGTCGGTGTAAGTCGTCGTTTCATAGTATGGTCTGTTTTGCTTGTGGAGGTGATATGTCCTTTTGTGTGTATAAGCCGGAGAAGGGAAACTCCTCACTGGCGAAGATAACCGGGAGCTCCAGCCAGGTGAAGGAAAGCCCGGAGAACAACCGCAGCACAGAGTCCTAAAAAGATTAATCAATAATGATGATGATAATAATGAAGTACCTGATAATAACGAAAAACCTGAATTAAAAAGTTTGCACCAGAGAAAACAGTAATACGAAGTTGCTCGAAGAAGAATATTTGGTGAGGAGATAATGAAGAAGAAAAGTACTAGAAATTACCAGAAAATTAGGAACATGAGAGAAAAGAAAAGGTATTATAAAAGGATACATCAGAAAATCATTGCGACGACGTTAGATTCTGGGGCAGGTGCGTGTTGCTTGGGTAAAAATTCCGGTGAAATATTGAGAGGTAAAGAAAGTAATGACATAGTGCAGTGAATTAAAATTCAGTGGCTCCGCTGGCTTGGCCATGTCGTTCGAATGGACAGAAACGCTCCTGCTCTGAAAATAATCAACTCGGGCCGCGATGCTGGTAACAGAGGAAGAGGAAGGCCTCCTCTGCGTTGGAAAGACCAGGTGGAGAAGGACTTGGCTTCACTTGGCATTTCCAATTGGCGTCAGTTAGCACAGAAGGGAAATGACTGGCGTGCTGTTTTGGACTCGGCCAAAATAGCTTAGGCGGTTACAGCGCCAATAAAGAAGAAGAAGAGAAAGAAAGTAATGTCGTTTCTATATCAGGCCAAAGTATACGGACGGCAAATGGCGGGGAAATGGAAATTGTAGGCGTGATACACTACCGGTGGTTTGGGACGGCATAACCAAAGACCTCGAGTTCTTTATCATTCCTAGGTTGCAACAAGAGGTATATCTAGGAGTAGACTTTTGGCTCACTTTTAATTTAAATGTTGTTATTTGTAGTTCGAGTTTTTGGCCCACCCGCGCTGGCGTTGCAGAGCTGGTACCTGCCGATGTGCGATCTTTCTTTTGATGCCGTACAACATGTGTTGACATCGGAGCAGAGCGTAGCGTTAGAAAGAGTTGAGGCGCAATGCCCTTCTTTCTCTGTCTTGGGATTAGGCCGCACAGATATGGAGGAGCATGTTATAGATGTGATTGATGAGAACGTCCCAGTGGAACAGCGGCACTACCCCATCTCACCATCCATACAAAAATTGATTTACGCAGATCTAGATAGGATGCTAGCTATGGGGCTGATAGATTAAAGTAACTCTAGTTGGAATTCACCTGTTTCACTAGTGGTTAAAGGCACAAAGAGCCGACTGTGTTTGGACGCAAGGAAAGTTAACGAACGGACGATAAAAGACGCATATCCCCTACCACATGTTGACGGAATTCTCAGCCGCTTAAAAAACATGCGATTCATCTCGGTCATAGACCTAAAGGATGAGTTTTGGAAAATCCCATTAGAAAGAAAATCTAGGGAAAATACTGCTTTCACCGTACCCGGTAGGGCTCTCTATCACTTTACGGTGATGCCGTTTGGTCTATGTAAGGCGGCTCAGAGAATGTGTAGGTTAATGGACAAGGTGATACCCGCGGCTTTACGTGAATGTGTCTTTGTGTATTTAGATGATTTATTGGTGTGTTCGGAAAATTTCTCGTCTCATCTATGTTTACTTGAAAAGGTCGCTCGTTGTCTACGTGAAGCAAAGTTAACTATTAATGTTGAAAAGAGTAAATTTTGTTATAGAGAAGTACGTTACCTCGGATATGTAGTTGGCGATGGTTGCATACGAACAGATGCCAATAAGGTGGCGGCCGTGAGGAATTTCCCCGAACCAAAAACTCCGAAGCAGTTACGCCGGTTTTTAGGCATGTCAGGCTGGTACTGTCGATTTATTCAAGACTCCGCGACTATTGCAGCTCCGCTGCACGACTGCCTCACAAAGGACAGCATCAAACGGTTTACAATGACAGAGGACGCGAAAACATCTTTTGAGAAACTAAACCAGAGCCTAATTCCTGCACCGGTGCTAGTACATCCTGACTTTGACCGACACTTTTACATAGAGTGTGAGGCATCAGCTGACGGAGTGGGAGGGGTTTTATTTCAGTTGGATGACGAAAATAATGAAAGACCGATCGCATACATATCCGCAAAGCTGAACAAGGCGCAAAAGAATTATAGTATCACGGAGTTGGAGTGCTATGCCGCCGTGATTAGCGTAAAAAGGTTCCGGCCATATATTGAGGGTCTGCCGTTTACGATTATAACGGACCACGCGAGCCTCAAATGGCTCATGAACCAGAAGGGCCTCTCAGGCAGATTAGCACGGTGTAGTTTGCAGCTTCAAGGATACAATTTTAATATTCAGCACAGAAAAGGAGCACAGAATGTCGTTCCTGATGCCCTATCACGTGCGAACATTGAAGAATTTAATCCCAGTGAAAGAATGTTGGATATTTGTATAGATTCACGTTATTTTAATTCGGACGAATATGTTTAATTAAGAAAGACAGTGACCGAAAATCAAGACAGGCTTCCAGACGTATGTGTGTCAGACGGATACGTGTATCAACGAACGAAATTTAATAGGGGGGACGAGCTTCAAGAGGACCAGTCCTGGAAGCTCTGAGTTCCGTCAGAGCTACGCAGAGGGTTGGTGGAATCCTCTCACGACTCGCCATCCGCAGGGCATTGGGGCATCCATAAAACCCTAGCACGCATCCGAAAAAAGTATTACTGGCCAGGAATGGTTACCGAAGTACAAGCCTACGTGAAAAATTGTGAGGTCTGCAAGGGAAACAAAGCCCAGAACGCTTTCCAAAAACCCATCATGGGGAAACAACACGTGACCGAACGACCTTTTCAACGTCTGTATGTCGATTTTATGGGTCCGTACCCCCGTTCGTGTGATGGTAACGTTTTTGTGTTTGTATGTCTCGACCATTTTTCTAAGTTTGTGTTCTTAAAACCAATGAAAAAAGCCACGTCCAGTGAAGTAATCAAGTTTGTAGAGAGGGAGGTTTTTCATACTTTTGGTGTGCCAGAGTACATCCATTCTGACAATGGAAGGCAGTTTGCATCTGACCTGTTTGCCAATTTCCTCTACAAATATGGAACCAGACACAGAGAGTAAATCGGTCAGTATTGCAAATGATCAGATCATATATAAAGGACAATCACAAAGATTGGGATAGACACCTGAGCGATGCAGCCTTTGCGCTGCGCAGCGTATCCATACTGCAATCGGTTGTTCACCATATTTTGCCGTTTTCGGCATGCCGATGATGCAACATGGTGCATCATATGAGATATGCCAAAAGCTCAGCACCATTAAGGACACCGACTGCCAGCTGGGCTCCCAAGCTGACCGAATGCAACTCATTAGAAATAACATAATGAAGGAGTGGAAACTGGCACACGAGAGAAGCATGAAGACTTATAATACCAGAAGTAAGGAAGTTACTTTCAAAATTGGACAGGTTGTGTATCGAAAGAACTTTAAACAAAGTTCACAGCCAGAAGCGTACAATGCCAAATTAGGACCGAATCAAATTAAATGTATTGTCCTTAAGCCCATAGGCAATACGATGTACGAACGTGGGGACACTAGCGGCAAAAAGGTCGGAGTGTATCATGCCAAAGACATTTTCTTGGCATAACATGTTGTCTAATATTTCATTAAATGTATTGTTTTGCGTGTTTAGATGTATATGCCCGTGAAGTTGGTATTTCTATGTTTCGTATATGGTCTATTTATTTACTTGTTCATTTAGTTAACTATTTATTTATTCATTCACTTAGTTATTTAATTTTTATTGTTTTTACTTATTGACTTGACTTTTCGCCAATTATTTATTGATTGTATCCATCTATTGACTCACATGACCACATATATCGTGTGTGATCCAAATCTGTGATATCGTAGTATAAGGTAAAAAATTCGACGTATAATTGTATCTGTGATTTTTTTTTTGCTCTTAATCTGTGATAGAACTAGTTCGAAGTATATTTATCTGTGATATTTTGATACTAGTATATAATGGGTATATGAATATTTGTGAACCGAAAGATAAAGGGACCGAAACCAAATAAGCAAAGTAGTAGGCCCGGCTATAGGTTGTGGGTCGAAGCCACACGTAAGGCGAAACGATAGATACAGCAGACAGTTCGCGTTCTGAATTTTTTTACGCACACGCTCCATGTGGCAGGCAACATCGGCGGTTGCGAGCCTGTAACGCTAGTCTGTCACGTTGCAAGTAGCATCCACCAACAACCAAGCAACAGAAGCGCAACACTTCAGCAACATCCTGGAAACAACCAACAATTTAAGGCTAGCAACATGCATATGTATCTGCGTATAGGTACCCTGCGAAAAATGGGACTAATCCGGGATGACTCCGGGAGCAATCGCGAAGGAGCATGCGACTAATACCACTTTTGATCTCTTTATATGGAATGAACTGATCGCTTTTGTTCGAGCATGTCCTATGAAGAGACTAATTGTTCACCTTTATACCCAAACGGGTATAAAAAGCGACTAGCCACTTTTAAACAATAAAAATAAAAATTTGAGCTAGCTGAGAGTTTTGTTAGGCGAATACTCTCTCTGTGTGCCACCGCCGCACATGAAATTTCATTAAGTGCGTACATATCATTAAATCGTTAATAGTACCCGTTAGAGATGAGTTGGGGACTAATTGGTATCCAATTATACCCATAAGAGATGAGTCGAGACTAATTGACCTCCATTAGTACCCGTATGAGACTAGTTGGGACTAATTAATGCCCAATTGTACCCGATTGAGAGTAACCTCGGAATACTCTCTTTAGAGATTAGTCGCCCAATTTTTTGCAGGGTAATTGCAGAGACTAAGTACTTGCATACGTGTTGTACGTCGAGACTATGAATTTTTGTGTTGTGTGTGTACATGTGGGCTATGTGTGTGTATGAATGAGTGGAGTGAAAGTTGGGGTCTGATTGAATGCGCGTGCATGGGTGGTCGGTAATCGTGGTGAGTCAAAGTGCGTCGTGAAGGAAAATTGCAAAAGGCGGCCGATGCAGCAGGGTGCTATCACTAAGCAGAGATTAACTCTGGTCAGACAGGAGATTGTATTGGCAGTACAAAGTTTAAGTGCGGAAGCATACAGCAAAGAGAAAAAAACCGAAAAGAAAGAATATTTAATATATAAGAAAGTGTACGTTTTTGTGCAAACCGTTAAAGCGGAGCAAAGCCGTTTGCCTTATTTTTTTTCAACCGCTTGAAACCTGCTGAATAGAGGTCTTCGCCGGGCAGGGGCAAAACTAGGGCCTCTAATCGCCAAAGCGCCTTATAATACATATGCATGCACAGAAGCGCCTTGTAACCCATATGTATGCAAATAACCGTATCTAGGCCAAGACTAAAGTACATAAGGAGGAGTTCTATGACCTGAAACAGCTGGACTTGTGGAACACGTATGTACATAACACGAAACCGTAGATGAGAATGCAAGGTAAATAAAGGGTGAGACAGTTCAGCACAAATAAAGAGAGAATGGGGATATTGGAACATACATACATACACGAGGAGCACCAGACCAGTGTTGCCGCGCATAACCTTTAGTGGTAGCCAAATTCCTTTAAAAAAAGGGCTAAAAAAATCGTTGTGGCTAAAAATGGTAGCTAAAATTTTTTACTTACATATACATATATAAGTATATACGTAAACATTTTCAATAAGTAATGGTATATAAAAAAATTAACTCTGGAAAAAAGCTAATATTTTATCCAACCAAAAACCTTTTTGTATAAAAGGGGAAATATACGACACCAGCTTGGTGGTTCCATCAAGTGATTGTACCATCAGGCTCGAAGCATATAACTTACCAGCATGCTGGTACTATATTTATTTCTTTAAAAATGAGGTTGAGGAAAGATCGAAATGATTAGAGCCGAAATTTCATAATTTTTCTAGCATCTTGTTAAGCATTGTTTTTTTTTTGTAATTCACAACTGCAATATCGTGAACGTAATCTTCCACAAACATGGCTTTGACTCATATAGGGCAAGAAATTTCCGCCAAAATACTTTTTACTTAGAAAATTGAGCTAATTTCACCACTCACGACCACATACCGGTACAATCACACCACAAGAACATACACGGTCAATCGACTTGATGGGTCGTTTAACAAATTTGGCATATTAAGGTCCGTGAACTTATCTATTTTAAACTATAGTTAAATCGTTAACAGATAAGTTAACAGCCCCACACTTTTACAGTATGTATGGATGAAAGCGTAAGGAGCATACGATACATATATGTATATGTATCAGTCTTTCTTAGTTTAAAAATTCATCTCTTACATGACTGCAAAAAAAAACAAATTAAGCATATACAACGTTTTCATGCCAAGTATGAATAAATTCTAAAAAGGGCTAAAAAAAAGGCTAGGGGCAATTTTAAATTTATGTAGCGAAAAAAAGTATGTGGTAGCTAAATTTAGCCACCAAAGGGCTAAAACGGCAACACTGCACCAGACACAGCGGGAATAACCTCCACTTGCTCACTCAGCACTCTTCTGCGCGCCACATAAATTCCAGTGCGCTCACTGGATTCTGGGCACCTGCTGGGAGAGCGGAACATACACGAGGTGACCCTAACCTCAAAATCTGCCTTACATGTATATAGTTACGTATTTTACATTAGTTTTTTGTTTTTTTTATTTGAATTTTTGCTGCTTTTGAATTCACCAATTTCCTTGCACACATAGTAGTTGTTGCATTCGGTTTTTTTCTTCATACCAATTTTTTTTGTTTGCTTCGGAAGCTGATATTTAGCTAGAGTGAGCTTTTTACCTCACGCGATTTCGTATAGAATTTTCTTTTGGGTTTCTTGCATTTAAATTTATATACGTACGTTTTTTTTAGGTTTTGAAGTCCTAAATCTATAAAGAATTCTAGTTAAAAATTCGCACCTATTTCTTTTCTTCATTATCACAAATTAATTATGTAGAGCTTTAGTTTAATATTTGTTAATGTTTTTTTTAATAATTTTTCTCACCAATTGAAGTATTTAGCTGCTTAAATTAGTGTAGATCCCAGCTTTTTTTTTTTGACCCATCGATCTGGGTTTCAGGTTAATTCTCGGTATATTTTAATATCATATGTTATCGTTTTTTTATTATTATTAGAAATTAACTTCAACCGCACTTAGCACTAGCGTTCTATTTTAAGCGTGGATTGCCAAATGAATACACACGGCCAATGTATAACCATTGAAAAGCGAGTTTATGCGTATGTAAATGTATTTCTTTGCAGCTCACCCATCTCCTTCATGCAGGCGCCTCCATCGAAAGAGAGATCGGTAAGTGCTAGAGCATAAGCATATTTACAAAAAAAAAAACAACCAAAACAAAAAACAAACCATTGCTTGAATATTTGGAGCTAGTGAGAGGGGCTCTATTCATAGACATGTAAGATAGGATAGGAACAATTTGGAATATTTGTAACTAGTGTGTACATACTATGTTTTATTTTGCTACGAATTTACAGATTATTGAAACATAGGTAAATACATACTCCTATTGCTTTTTATGGGAGTAACAAGGGCGCAGGGTGCGCCAAGTGAGGAGGATCCAATATAATAAAAATAAAAAACCGATTGGAGTTTGGATACAATTCAAAATTCAATACAAAACGTATTTTATTGAGGTATATATTATATTCGGATGAACAGGAAGTAAGCCTTTTTGCCCGAGTGGCTTTTAAAGAAAAATACAAGTAATTAAGCGGTGCGGCTGCGACGGTAGTTGGAACCATACTAACTTTAGGCTGGCGAGATCTGGTCGCCCCGAACCATCGCTTACAATGTTTGAAAATCGAAATAGTACAGTACGAATTCGAAGATATGTAGTAAAATCGAAAATGAGATGTTACCAGATGTAAATATAATCTAAGTTACAATAATGTTTAAGTTTTAAAAGTAAAAGTATAAAAGCTACGTGTAAAATATTAAAACCAAAATTAAATGATGAAATTTTTGCCCATGTCTTCACTAGTTGTAGCTGCGATGCTCAGGAGGCCTAACCCGGAATTCCTGGAAGAAGAGGAGGGGAGACACACGACTAGAACTGCGATTCATCTTAGTTAGTCTGTGAAAGAAAGTCGTAAAATGAAATAGTTGTGAAACATATGCAGTACGGGTTTAGATAAATATGCGTTTGAGAGTGTTATTGCGTAAGAACATGAATGAGCTTGCATAGAGTGGAGGTTTAGTTGGGGAGTAAGCTTTGGGTGTAGGAATATGTCCGCTATTCGCAGAGTCTAGCTGCGAATTGCGTCCCTTGAGAGAAAGAAATTTACATAGTTTTTTAATGCGTCCAGCTTTTTTAATGAATGGCATAGGATTGAATGAGTATTTAGGTACTGAGAGGTTCATATAGGCACTCTGCTGTAGATGTACCCATACCGTGGTGGGCGCGACATTACCCTTGGGAGGTTTGGGGTATAAAACGACACTGGTCCTCAGGTAACCAGTTGGAGAGGACTTCTCTTGAGAATGTGGTTGCTGATGATTACGGTCACTTGCATAGGAAGACGAAGTGGCCGTCTTTGTGTCGAGTTGTTTCGAGGTTGTCGCTTTGCTTGATGTTGGGGGTTGCAAGTTTGATGGGGTTCA